GTTTTCTCAACTGATGGGCACGTGGTGAAACAACCAAATAACCATACGCATCAGTGACTAAAAAGCCAAGGAACAGAGTAGAGAAATCCAATGTACACCTGAACTGTCAAACACGAGTTAGGAGTATCACGTTCTTATCTGAGGTCTGGATTTATGGTGTCAACTGGCAGTTGGCAACAGGTAGAGATTGGCTGAGGTGAGGTGAGCTTTGCTGAGAGAAAAGCAGAAAGGGAAAGGTGACTATGAAGAAAGACAGTTGAATTTTTTTTTTTGTATGCTATGGATTGAAGCTCAACATCAAGAAGACAAAGATTCTCACTACTGGGCCAACTGGCAGAACATGGATTGAAAAGAGACTGAAGTTGTTAAGTTACAGCCTGCCTGGCTCCACAATCAAGACTCTGGGCACCAGCAGTCAGAAAATAAAAAAAGTGGCATTGCATTAGGTAATCCGCACTCGGGGACCTCTGACAGTTACTGAGAAGCAGTGATGTCACTCTAGAGACTAAGGTGCACCTGAGTCTTTGCAATTACTTGCTATGCATCAAAGAGTAGGACAATGATTAAGGACTAAGGACAACAGAAGACTTGATGCATTTGAGTTGTGTGCTGGAGAAGAGTCTTAAACATACCATGGACTGCCAAGAAAACAAATAAGGTTTTCTTGGAGAGCGTGAAGTCAAGTTTCTCCTTTGAGGCTAGGATTTTAAAGCTCTATCTCACATACTGTGGGCATGTGGTCAGGAGGGACCAATCCTTGGAGAAGGACATCATGCTCAGAAAGATGGAGGGACAGTGCAGGAGAGGAAGACTCCAGATGAGATGGATTGATACAGAAAGCAGGGCAATGGGGGTAGGTGTGTCAAAGTCAGTTAGACTGGCTCAGAATAGGGTAGGCTTCAGAACATAGGATTGCTATGAGTTGCAGGCAAATTGATGGCACATAACAGTAACAACAACATTTGGTTTTTTTATGTTCTAAATAGACTTGATAAATGTGGCTTTCATTTTTATTTTTATTAGAACTCTATCCAAGAAGTTATCATTGCTCCAGAATCAGAAGCAAGAAAAGCAGAAGCCTAAGATTCAGCTTTGCCTAACGCTGACAAATCTTAAGAAACATACCTATAGATTTGATATCACCAAGAGAAACAATTCTTCATTCTAAAGGATCTTTCATTCAAAAGTATAAAGCTTGGGGTGGGGGGTGGGGTGACGAAAATGTGAAACAATGAATGAATTGAAATACAAGTTTTCTGTAAAAGCATTAATTAAAAAATTGTAGGAAAAAAGTATAAAGCTCATGTTAAGAGCATTCAAGTAAATGCTACATATAAAGCATTTGAGAGGGTGACTCAGGAAACTAAATTTTGAGGCAGAAATCTTTCTTGTCTTGCTGCTAAGGAAGGCAAATGATCTGACAAAGTATTAAAAAATCTGACAAGTTATCAAGGAAAGGAGATAAACAGGTTTAAGTTTGCTCTAACAGCTAAAAGGCCAGGACTTTTTTATTCAGTTATTATAACATGACCACAAGTGTGTCGATTCTAAGCAAAAATTGCTTAGCAACATTACAGTTAGAAACAACAGTGGGTGGGAAAAGGAATTGGAAATTTTAATTTTAGATGCCCCGGAGGTGGATAGGGGTTAAACTCATCACCCTGATTAGTACACTATGTGCTGACCTGAGGAGCCTGGCATTTAAAAAAAATCAGGACAGTCATTTAAAAGTTTCAGTTAGAACATTGCTGCAGTTAAACCTTAACATCTGTGCCTTTTCCTTGTTGCCTCTTCCAAGGTTTTTACTCATTTGGCAGTCTTTGTTTTAAATATCACTAGATTCTTAACTTTCCAGAAAACATTAAGTACACTGATACTTAAGGCCAAGGCACAGTGTTGGTTGCAGGAGTTCTAAAGACAAAAATACTGCCTCCTTGCACTTGGTGGGAAGACAGCTTGTTTAAGGATGAAAGGGTGTGAGGTGGTAGATACTGGGTAGGATGCAAAGTGTGGAGCAGGAATGTTTATTTTACCTGAAAATGGACAAAGATAAGGAAAACATTCATAACTGAAGTAATTTTAACAATAAGTCAGGTTTTCAGCTTCTCTTTTACTCCTTTCCTGGAGTCAGTCTAGATACATATGCTGAGAACTTACCTCTCTCATTCTCTGTGAAGTAGCTCCATTGGCACAGTTGATAAAGCACTGACATATTAATCAAAAAGTTGATTGTTCAAATCTACTAGATGGGAGAATGATGAGGTGGTCTAGTTGTGTAAAGATTTACAGACTTTGATACCCTTAAGGATCAGTTACAAAGTGAAAGTGGTGAAATAAGACAGTGGTTTTTGTTTTGCTTTACTATGCTTTGTGACAAATTAAATATTCTGGACCTATGAACCAGAAACTTTTTGCTTTCCATGCAGAATCTATGTCCTTTTGCCTACTATATCTCAAGAATTTTCTAGTTTAGGAAAGATGACAGATGGTAAAGCTAAACTACCCTATCTCTGCCACCAAAAAGAAAAAAATGTGTTTACCTCAGGAGAAGATAATTTGGACTGAAATGGGACTTTAAAGGTAAGTGGGAACAGTTGGTACCATTTGAATTCATGTCAAGAAGAAAAGATAATTTTTTTAAAAATCCAGATATAAAATATGATAAAGATCTCAAATAGGCAGATTTGTCTGCAAACAAGTCAACCTAATTTGCAACAAAGTCAATAAATATTTAAGTAAGGGCTCTATTAATTCTTCAACAAATAGTGAACACCTAAGACTCATTAGAATACTGTAGTATGATAGAAGTTGCTTCTTACACTCAAGGACCTTATTTTCTAGAAGGGAGTAATAATAAATAAACATACCTTTTTTACACATAAGCCTGTTAAGGCAACCAAGCAGTTTGTTGTGAAAGACTGAATGGGGGAAGGAACTCATTGAGATTGTCTGATCAACCACAGAGGATCCAGAAGTCTGACAAAGCACACTAGGTAGGGGAAGGTGGCTTGTTGTGGTGGTGTTGTTGTTAGGTGCCATTGGGTACGACTCATAATGACCCTATGAACAAAAGATTTGAACCCTGTTCTATCCTGTGCCATCCTCACACTTCCTGACATACAAGAGCTTTTGAGGCAGTCACTGTCAATCCACCTGGATTTACCTAGGTTCAGGTTGTTGTTGTAGTGTACCATACAGTCAGAATCAACCCATAGCTGACCCTCCACTGGAGCAGCTGGTGGCCTGAAACCACCCGTCTTCAGGGATTATAGCACAGCTTCTTGTCACTAGGCCTCCAGAGCACAACTCAGCTTATAGAATAGTAAAAAGTTTTCTAAAGCAATTTTTGTATTCCACATAAAATTGATAAAATATCACCTGTCTACATCAAAGATATTTGTTATCAGGGATGACAGAAGAATCAGAGAGTGTGCTAAAAACTGCCCCTTGCTTTTGGCCACTGTAGTAGATGAGAGAGTGTCTTTCCTTGAGATGAACAGTATGGAGTTCTTGTCCTCACAAAGCCAAACATTCATTTTGGAATAATTTATAAAAAGGGCACAGTGATACCTCAGTTGTAAAATAAGACAGTTGTAGATGGTTTCTTCAGTTGTTATTTGCCCATGTAAGAAGTGCTAAGTAGTGAGATGTGATACCTGAGTTAAGCCTTTGAACGACAGACATCACAAAGTTAATATCCATCAAGTATTTTAAAAAGAATGTGTTCAGGTCTTTCCTTCATAGGGTCGCTATCAGCCGTCTATGATTCAACGGCACTTAACAACATTTTAAAAAGAGACAATAGACATACAGGCAAATAGTCATTGTTGTTTAAAGACCATAAATACTGTCCAATAGAAATCAAAACAGAACTCTATTAACAGACATTTAAAAAAAATACCAGAATCCACCAGGTACATAGTCTAATGCCATTGCTGGCAAGTTCCCCACCCCTCAGAACATCTAACCAAATCCTACTTCTAGGAATTTATCCTAAAACAAAACAAAACAAAACAAAAAACAGCAGAGGGAGAAAAAGAGATGGGACAATATTATAGAGGTGCTAATTACACCTGAAAAACTGGAAGATACTGCAACAATAGGGACTAAGTAGGATTTTTTCCCCCTCCACTTGCGTTTTAATTTGCAGTGAGCTATGCCAATCGGTCTTGTCAACACTTACTTGCCCACGTGCTGGCAAATATAAACACAGTGGTGGCGTGGTGGGCACTTGGGCGACAAGTGCTGATGTGTGTATTTACTGTGAGCATGTCTGGATGAGCAGCAGAGGTGCAAGATAGATTGGAGAAGCTCAACTACCTGTATCCACACTCAGAACCAGAGAGCTAGAAAGAAAAGTACAACTTAGAAGCCGCCCCCATAGCCGGTGTGGATGACTTGACACCTTACGTGTCCTCTTGCTTGCTGATTTCATTGTTTGGGCTAAGCAAACCGGTTCACACTGTTCCGGAAAAAGTCCTGAGGCATGAGTCACCACTCTCAGCTCAGACTTCGACCGGGGAGCGTGACTGTCCATGGCCACGCCTACAACACCCCTTTGGCCCCGTGGTAAGCGACATGGAACACAAGTCTCCTAGGGGCAGCGCTAGAGCATGGCCGCTCCTGCACGCTGGGACCCTAAGGCTTAGGCCAGGCCTGCGCACGGCTCCGCCAGGGCGAGTAAATTTCCCTTTGGTCCTTCTAGAAGGCCGCCTTTCCAGATCCGCTAGACCCGGCCCAGAAAGTCCCTCGTGCGGTCAAGGGCCCCAGCCCGGGCCACTTCTGCTCGCTCATAGGCCCGCTGAGACTCGGCCCGCCCAGGCCTCACCCAGCGCGGAGCTGGGGGCGGGACGAGCGGGTTCGCGCCAAAATCGCGTAGCTAATCCCGCCCCCGCGGGCTACGTAGCGCCCTCCTTTTTTTTCAAACCAGGGACTGGGCTGGGATTGGTGGGCTGCGCTCTCACGTGGTTAACGGTCGCGGGAAGCCGCGGAGGCGGAACCTGAGACTAGACTTGCGGAGATCCCTTGCCTTCGTTCCTGGACCGCTCCGCCTCTGCTGGATAGTCCCTGCTGCTACTACCACCGCCGCCACCACCTCCTGCAGCCCCGAGCGACCCAGAGCCACAGCCCATCGGTGCCCCTGACCTGCAGCCGCGGCTACCGGGCGCGCCCAGTCGCACGTGGCGGACCCGCCCCCTGTGCCGGCTGTGCCCTGGGCTCTGGGCCTAGGTTCTCGGATCGCCAGCCCCGGCTGCAGGGCCGCGATGAGCTTCTTCAGCCGGCAGCGACCACCGCCGCCCCGCGGTGCCGGGGTCTCCTGCACCTTGCGGCAGAAGCTGATCTTCTCTCCCTGCAGCGACTGTGAGGAGGAGGAGGAAGAAGAGGAGGAGGAAGGCAGTGGCCACAGCACTGGGGAAGACTCAGCCTTTCAGGAGCCCGACTCGCCGCTGCTGCCTGCACGGAGCCCCCCGGAGCCCGGGTTGGAGTGCCGCCGCTCGCCCGGCCCGGCCCCGGGCAGCCCCGGGGAGCTGGAGGAGGACATACTGTTGCGGGACGCCTGCCCGGGCGCCGACGGGGCTGGCGGCGGGGCCGAGGGCGACTCGTGGGAGGAGGAGGGCTTCGGCTCCTCGTCGCCGGTCAAGTCGCCGGCGGCCGCCTACTTTCTGGGCAGCTCGTTTTCGCCGGTGCGCTGCGGCGGCCCGGGGGACTCGTCCCCGCCGAGCTGCGGAGCGCGCCTGGACGGCGAGGGCTTCTGCTCGCCGCTGCCGGATTACCCGGGCACCCCGGGCACCCCGCAGCGCATGACCTTCGGCAAGCTGCGGCTTTTCTACACGCCACACACGCCCAAGGTGAGGACGGGAGGGCCGCCCGGGCCATTTAAAAAGGCCGCGGCGCCGGGAGCCGAGCGGGGGGCCCGCTGCCGGGCTTCGGTTACATAACCGCCCGGCCGCACCCCCTCTCGCTTCCCTGCGCCGCCACACCAGACTTGGCAGCCCCTCTTTTGGGCCCTGCCCAGAAGGTAGCCGTTAAGATTATGTAACTGAACAATGAGCCTCGTCTGGAACTTCTTCATCTTTCAAAGGGGCTGATCGGCGCCGGCCAGGTGGCAGGTGATTAGACGCCGGGGCCGCCCCGAGCGTGTCACCCCCGAGTGTGGCACCGGGACGTGCGCTGGAACGATGCTGGCCAGGCCACCTGACACTCCCGGCGCCGCAGCCAGATGGTGCCTTTTAAATTGCGGTGGTCGCCTTCTGTAATTTGGGCGCCGCGTGCAGGAGGAATTCAGTTAAAAAACCTAAAAACTCCACAACACAAGTACTCATCATTAAATTTCAGTCGGGGATTTTTAGGGGAAAGTTTTGCTTCCTGATTTGAGAGAAAAAGCCCACCCTTCCAGACACTTAACTGCAGTACTAAAGACTCAGATAAGTCAAGGTAGCATTTAAGTTTCTTTGTTTTGAGTAATTATCTCCTTATCCCCGGTGGATAGAACCCAAGTTTGTTGTCTCCAGCCAAGTACGTTAATTTGCAGAGGTTAGACACATTAGTGTTGTTGCTTGGACCCCCTTAGACTTTTCTGTTAAAGCTAAATAAATATCTTGAAATCATTAAAGGTTGAGCACCTGTTTGTTGAGTGGGAAAAGATTCTGCAGCTAACCTCATCTAAAAATGTATTAGTAGTAGATCTGAAAACGGACACTTCAAATAGGAATTGATAAAATCTATATAGGAAGTTAACTTTGCTGGAGAGTCGGTGTAAGGCAATCTCAACCTCTGGAATGGGTGTACTTTTGAGCTACACTCTTAGCCAGTTTGCCCAAGGCGACCACTGGAACTTGCAGTAGTGGCTTTCAAAGCCCTATTTAGAAAGAGGGGGAGGGGCGCTTCGTTGGGCCTTGCTGACTCCTTTCTGTTTTTAGGCATATTGAATGGGTCGGTTTGTTAACTGCTAGCCACTATAAAAAATTGTAATTAACCTTTTTTGTAGTTGGAAACTGATTTTACTTGGCTGTCCTGTTGAGAAAAGGTGCTTAGTGTATAACTGAAGACTCCATACCAGTTTTTTATTTTGCTTCAGATAGAACTGAGCTTTCTTGTGTTTCTTTTGACCTATGCATTCAGTCACCAGAAAATCTTGAATGTTGGCTTGAGAAGGGTGTCTGATTCTAAAATCTCTATTTTCCTTCCCTAGAGTTTGCTTTCCAAAGCTCGAGGAATAGATTCCAGCTCTGTTAAACACAGGGGTGGTTCTCTGTTCATGAATTCTGGAAAAAGGGAATTTGACGTGCGACACACTCCACAAGTGAATATTAATCCCTTCACTCCGGATTCTCTATTGCTTCATTCCTCAGGACAGTGTCGTGGAAGAAAGAGAACATACTGGAATGAGTAAGTAATTTCTTAATATTAATTGCTTTCCAGGGCTTACCAAATTTAGTTTTTTTTCTGGATGACATGACATGAACGTGCTCTGAAATTTTTTCTACTAATAGTACTCGATTCTCAGGAGATGGGTGGGAAATAATCAGCTATGGAAGAGGAGGAATAAAAAGTCCACAGTTTGTGGGAAATCTGGTGTCAAAAATAAGTTAGCCAGTAAGAGTATATCCAGCAAGACTTTAATTGTGATACATAATGATGCTGTTGCAATTTATTGGTTAGTGAATCTAACAGCTGGGCTTATGTTTGTGAAATGAAAAGACTTTTCTGATATTTTTATCTCACTGATAGTCTCCTGTACATTTGTCAGAAAGAATTTTGATATATATGTTAAGCATATTAATGGAAAAAATACTTTCTTCCCTCCAGTTCCTGTGGTGAAGATATGGAAACCAGTGATTATGAATTTGAAGATGAAACAAGACCTGCTAAAGTACTTAGCTAGCTCTCTTATTTTTTCCTAATTCTTTCTGAAATTTGGTATTCTGCTTCTTAACAAATTACCACATATAACTGTTAAATGAGTATTAAAACATATGGTATAATGATTTTTTTAATTTCACACATAGACCTAGTCCCTATAGCAAAAATCATTTTCATATTTTTATATAGTTTTTATTTTCATTGTGATTTTTAATGACATTTTACACAAAAATTGGACTTTATTCATTATTACACATTTCCTCCCGTCCCCGGTTCACTTTCTTTTTTAAATATTCATTTGTTATAGTTTCCTTCCTACCCCAATCCACTTTGCAATGTGCCTCTTATTCTAGACACACATATAATGCCTAATCATATATATAATCGGTTTAGTCTTTCCTTCATCTGCTCTAATGCAGTGTTCATTATCTATTTATTCTTTTCTTGTTTTCCTCTTAACCCCTGCATGTCATCTTGCTGCAAAACAGTGGTGTTATGCAATATTTGTCCTTTTGTGACAGATTTTTCACTCAGCATAATGTTTTCCAGGGTCACTCTTGTTATGTACACTTTCATATTTTTGTGTTACATGCATGAATACACTTTTTATTACAGAGAATTACAATTACTGAAAGCAACATGAAGTCACGGTATGCAACAGAATTTCATGAACTAGAGAAAATTGGTTCTGGAGAATTTGGCTCAGTATTTAAATGTGTGAAGAGACTGGATGGATGCATTTATGCCATTAAGCGGTCCAAAAAGCCATTGGCTGGCTCAGTTGATGAGTACGTATTAAAAATTTTGTCTTTTGTCCATTTGAACCTTCTCTGCACAGTCACTTGGTGTCCCTCTCAAGTCTACTAACAAAATCCCGTTTGCTACTTGGGACCAGCTTCTTTCTCAACTCTTCCCCTCCCCCAACAGTACATGTATAGCTTATATATTTTACATGTATAACATGTATAAACCCATGTGATAAAGTATATACTATGTTTATATCCTTTTTACAAAAAACACTGGAGCACAAAAAAATA